GAGAAAGAAGCAAGTGCGTAGCGAACATTTGCAGCTGATAGCAAACGAGTAAACGGACGAGTGAGCGAAAGCGCTACACCATGCTTAAAGAAAGAGGTGCATTGACTTTCATTTATCTCAAGTGGATGCTTAAGAATATGTTTTCATAGAGCGTCCAAGAGAATATCCATTGATGGCACACGCCTTTCCACTATGTTACTGTTCGTTCGTTCATTTCGTCGCTGCTGTTTGTGATTACGCGTGTGTTTTTTTCCCTTCCACTCACTCTTCCTTTTACTCTTTCCTACTCTTTCATTCCCTCGAAAAATACCGATTATTAAATCTATTCCAGAATGAACGAGAAAAAAAGGAAGCAAACGCGCGGAGAAGTAAAAGTAAGCAAGTACATGAGCGAACAAGAGACACAAACAAGTGAACAAAAGAAACGAAATGATGATAAAAATAAAGAAAATGTGCTGAAAGTCATCTACTTTGTGCACTTGTATCAAACGAGCAAATAAACGAATATTTCCATTGAACAAATTCGACCCACACGACAAAGTGTTTTTATGTGTTTACCATAAAACAGCACACGCCAAGGCGAGGGACAGAGAGAGATGACGAAAGAAAGAACAAGTCCGAATATTGCATTTTGAATTCGGGAAAATCACACCGTGAATCGCACTGAATTCGATTCTCGCACAACCAAAAAAAACGACAGTTATGAAAGTTACTGAAATAATTTATTTTTAATGCTTTCATTTAACTCTTTAATGGTCCATGGATAAACAATGTGGCAGTTATCATTATGTCATTTATGTGTTGCATACGCACAGCAAGATGGATACAGACACACAAAGTGACAGAAAGAATCTTTTTCATTTTCTTGTGAGTCATTGATTTTTTTTTTGCTTTCGTTTTTTGTTTCGGTGAATTTCTTTGTCTACTTGAAATATCGAGAAGAATGAAGGAGTAAAATTAAGTTACATTGTACTGTCGCCGAAAAAATGATTTTCATTATTCGCTTGACTTCATTTGGTGTTATAATCATTAACTAGTATTTTATCGTTTTGACCAAATAGTTGTTTGAGACAAGAACGGAATGAATAAAAATTTTGATAATTTTGACGATTTGAATGGCATTTTATTGGCATGACACAGTTTCCAAGGCATATCCATTTCAATTTTGATTAAAAATGTCCCGAGACATCGCAAACATTATAAATAATGTATAATCGCTGTGTGTGTGACCCTTTTACAGCTTCTTTTGCTGCAAAGGCTTTACATAATGGTGTTAGACGATTCAAAGCTCAGCCTTTCTTTCACAAGAAAGCATTTAACAAGCTGATACCAAATCGTGGCCCGACTAAGCAGCCCAATTTTGATCCAATTTTACGGATGACATTTACACCTTGAAAAAGACGATTAAAAAATGCATCAGTCGCTGTGTGTTAAATATTTTTAACCAAATTTTTTTAAACCTCGCCTTTTTAAGCCATTTGTTGTATTGCGTATGCAATATCAACAGTAGCAGTCATCAACAGTTTGCAAAGGCAATTTGTAATTTTTAATTGAATTATCAGCGGGTTTTTTTACATACAAATACATGATTTGAATGGAAAAACGATATGCATAATATTTTTTCCCTTGTATATTCAACAAGGTATATTTGTAACATGAATCCTACTTTAAGTATAAAATGTGAAAAGAATTTTGGGTCAAAGCTCGTGCCACCTTTTGAAGAAGAAAAAAGATGTCACCCGCTCTATAAATTGAACGAAAGATGACGGTTTTTCTTTCATTTCTCTAAGTATGCACTCCATCATTTTTAATAAGCCAAATTTTCTTTTAATAAATAAAAAACGCCTTTAGTAAAGACATGCTGTAGGAATCGAATTGATTGTGATGAGCAACATTTTCAATATTTCACAGCAACAACTAGCGATATAAATTGGTTTGACGTGACTTCAATTTAATACTCGCATACAATTTTTTCCTTCCATTCTCTCTTTTCTCCTCTCCTTGTTCTCTGTTTTTATTGTTCTACGTCATCAACTATCTCATTTTTCGCTTGCATTTAGATTGCAAAGCAATGAGAGACAAATAAGCTTGATGGCGTGATAAAGCATTTTTTTACATTGTTATTGTTATTGTTATCACGCGTACGTGCGCTTGACCTTAGATCTGTTCAGAATTATGTGCCCTAACGATCAAGCGATTCATATAGATGTATAAAAAAAAGAAACGGTGCGCAACACAATGTTCTTTTTTTCCATGCCACCCTCCGTGCTGAAACCATTAGGATTTTGTTAATTTTCATCGCGTTTCAAGTACTTTATTTAATCGATTGATGAGCACATTGATTGAAATGTATAATCATAAACGATGATGAAAGGATTAAATTATGTCGCGCAATATAGCGACGATGATGAAAGATAACAATGTCTCATTTATTGCTAACAATTTAGTGCATTAATCAAGTTAAAGCGCATTTTATCTTACTGATTTGTTATGGACTACCGATTTTTTCATGATTGACGCGCTACAGAATGCGAAAAGGTGTCAAGAAGTGCAATGCCTATTAAATGTAAAAGCAATTCACTAATGTTTACGCGAATGGCGTACATAAAAATATTATTAGATGATATTAAATAGCTTTTTGGTTGTAATGCAGAGAGACGTGAAGTGAATGCGAGAGAAAGAACGAGAGAGAGAGAGAGAGAGAGAGAGAAACTGAAAAAGCAAAAGTGAAACACAGCGACAGAGGGGAGGAAATGATATCGAATGGATTGGATTAAATGGCGTACACACAACACAAATATGCTGTAAGGCATGAACTTCATGAAAAATCATCAAGCGTATATTTCGAGTAAATATCCGTCAATTTATGATCAATAATACCTATAATCGAATGGGAACAAGAAGCGACCGCAACACATACACAAGCGATTGAAAGAAAAAAATGTCCGTCAACGATGGCGATATCGTCGTATTATAAAAATAAGAAAAGGCGAATAGATAAAGAGGGCAATTTCCGTATTTTGTTTTTACTGATCTATCAAGTCAATGTTAAAGAGCTGAAATGATGAATTAAAACACATAATGGGGCGGTTCACGTCTCTTTTTATATGATTGAGAGAACACCAATATCCACCTCATACCAAACATCATTTCTCTCCGGTTGGTTTTTTTTTTCTCCACTAAGGATGTTTAAAGACAGCAGCGACTGCTGACTCAAGAGCATGTTATATATCTACTTTGTTTTTATTCTTCGACGATGTTGATATGGTTGTTATTCTCGATTCTCACACGTTCTTCTTCGTTAATTTACACCGTTTTTACGAGCGGCTCATCTTCTCTCACTTTTCTCATCTATTGATGACGGTTTAAGTGAAAATATACATTTGATATCAGTGTGTGAACGAAATGACGTGTGTTTACATTTCGGCCCCAAAATGAGCACTTGAGGACACAATTTATGCGTGCTCATGATATCCATTCATTGAATATATGTATAAATCGAAATGAATCGACGCACGGTTCAAGGAAATGTCAACGGGAGAAAAAAAATCGATGACATTTTCGAATGCTGATGATGATGGGGTGTTGATGTTACTTTTACACTCACGAAAAGATTGAATGCTGTGCTTTAGGCGAAGAAATGACGAATTTACGGACAAATCACAAAATAATTGAGGAAATGACTCTAGACCATTATACACCATTCGATTAATCATTACAGTTTTCTTTGACCACACGATAATTATCATGTATATCAACTAAGAAGTGAAAATAACAATCGGTTCAAGCAATATGGTAAAACAGAACCGTAGCACACTCAGTCAATCGGCCGTTGAACCAAATCTTTCGCTTCATTGCGAGCGACAGAGAAAGAGAAAGTGAAAAAGAGCGGGGAGGAGGAAAAAAGAAAATAAGGAGAATGATGTCAATGTATTCTTAATGTGTATAATTTACTGTGAACGTTATTCTGCGATGTGTAATCATTTCGAAGTGATAATATCATCATTTTAATACGGTTGACGTCAATCATATTTCGAATTCATTTTTCTGTTTATTTCCATCGAGTTTATTTTGATTATGCGAAAGCTATACGTGTCTATGCATATTCGGTTTAAATATTTTGAACGCAAACACGCACAATTTTCACGACTTTATGACAGGAAATATAAATTTTGATGAATAAACATCGGAATTTACAAAATAAAAAAAACTGAACGAATAACCTAGAATCCAAAATTAAAACAAATAAATTTACACTTAATTCAAAAATCAAATCTATAATTGTGTGACTATTTAAAAAGTATCGATTTGGTAAACCGAATTTGTCTCTAAATTGATAAATGTGGTCACAAAACAAACTATTCGGATAATCAACATCGCCAAACATTGATTATATTTATTGACATGTGCTCGACGCTTTACATTTAAAATAAGTGCGACGTGTTTCTGCTGTGATCATAATTAAAATTGTATGTACGAAGCACATCATCACTACGGTTGCATCATAGCAGGAGCTCGCCAAAAAAATCAACGAAATGACTAACATGTGAACTATTGTGTGCGTTGAAAATTAATTGAAAACCGCGAAAAATCAATGTTTACCCATTACAATACCGATTAACGATTTTTGCCTAATTGAATAATGTAAACACAGACGTCAAGATTTTCATCGGTGCTTTGTGCATGAATTTTCGATGCGATTTTTAATTGAAATCTTCTTCTTTTTTTTGCTCATGCAGTCTTAAACTTATGAGAAAATGAAAATAAAAACAAGATCATCTGCATTCGGGAAATTTGTATCTAAAGCAGCAAAATTGTACATTTGCATCGACACACGCGCACGCACTGATTGATTTCCGACCGATTTATTCAGTTTGTGTATGGTAATGGTGTCTGGTGCAACGAAAACATCGTGCACAAAAAATCTCAATTTAAATTTATTGTATTGCCGCGACTATCGAAGAAAAGACTATCGAATTTAAATGAGTTAATTTACTTACACATTCCATGGCCGAGGATCCAGGTATCCGGTTTGGTGTTTACTTCAACTAAAACGGTCGGTGTGCACACAACCAGCACGAACAAATCAGCAATGCTTAAATTTATTAGGAAAATGTTTGTGGAATTTCGCATGTCTTTTGTTTTCATTATTACGATTGGCACCTATACCAACATTGTCATCATGGATGGATAATGGAATGGAGGAGAAAGAGAAATCACGAATTCCGTTAGTAAATTAAATTAAAAGGTTTTTTTTTGTTGCTTTGTAGCTTATGGTAAATAGACGTGATGGTATAGAGACGAGATCATTTTCTCATCACTCAATCAGTATGTGTGTGTGGCTCATACAAAGATTTGTAACTAATCGCTTTGAACTGTAATTGTCTCCTTTCACTGCATGAAGATTGAGATATTCGTTTGGTCTTCTCTATTACTAACGCATCAATTTACACAAGATACACAAAAAAGTTTGATTTAAAAAAAAAGAAATGTTTAATTTTTCAAACCATTAGATTTCCAATCACACCCAGCAACATGATTGTGATGCAAAAAACCATTGATGTTGTCCGAATGTATGCTGGGATTTGCGGTACATCACGTTCAGTAGCATTTTCGGTGGTGGTGGCGGTCGCTGCTGTCGTTGATAATGAACTCAGCGCCTGGTTAACAATAATTGATGCTAAAGACACATTATCGACAGACACCCCCAAATCGTCGCCAGAGTGGGGGTGCTGAATTACATCGGACACATTTTCATTTAATTGAGTTATGATGATGACGGCAACTATAACAATTCGATAATAATAACGTGCGGATGTTCGCTTCAACACCTCAATAATTGTTCCGTTGTTCGTCGTCGTCTCGCTTTTTTCCTCTTTCGTTTTCGGTTCGATTGCGTACGGTCCATGCATACGCGCTTCAAACCGAACAACTCATCCTTATTTTATGCAAACGAATTGCAGTGCACGCTATTATGATCAAGTGGAGCTTTCAGCACTGGATTTTCTATCGACATAAACAAACAATTTCTCTTTCTTTTCTTGATATTCTTTTGTTTTTCGTAGCAGAGCACTATTTTCGCCGCTTTTTCGCCCGTTCACCCGCACGCACACACTCTCCAACTTTGTCTCAACCGCGTTGATTACGTGTTACACATTCAGTGGTTATGATAAATAAATTTTTATGTAATTATAACTCGGTATGCTTGTTGTTTTTGTGCGTTCTTTTGCCTATTGTGGTTTTGTGGTTGCTTTTCGATATGCTATAAACCACAGCAAAACGGAACCGAAAAACTAATCCGAAGAAATTCTTTATAGATAAGCTAATGAAATAAAATAATTATGGCAACGACTTTTCTGGCATGGAAACAAAACGCAAATGGACTGTGTCATTTACGCAAAATTACACACAAAAAAACACTGGATTTTTTTCTCTATACGAATCGAACATAATTGAACTATATATAACGTTCATATGTTGGATGTGAATCGATATATTTTTATTATCCCAGTTTCAATTCTACACTCAATATCAAACTTTCGATTTTTTTCATACGATAGTCACAGTTTCTTTTGTCATTGATGAAAAATAGTCAGTTGAACATTTATTTCTGTTAACATGTGTTTTAAAAATGTTCACACAATTTTAAACTGTTCATTTCGCCTTAGTACAACTGATTTTGTTGCCACTTGGCCACACATCTAGTTTACACAAAAGACAGTAGTTCAACGTTGTTTTACTTCAATGTGAGTGTCGTTGTTTTTAATTTTTGTGTATTCATTAGATTGTTCAAAAAACTATTGTTACTATAATGTTGACGTCATTCCAATGTGGCGATGCCTTGTTCATTTTGGAGCGATGACTCTGTGGTTGGTTGTTTGCATTCATGCACTTCGTCGATTTTTACATAGAGAAAAAAACTGAATTTATTTGCAGCAAGCACACAAAAGAGTGCTTTGCACCACCCTACACCGTATGGCGAACGGGATCAAAACACTGGCACACGATGTCGTTGTCTCCTGTACACAATCGTTATTCATGTACAATTCACTGCACCTGTTTAGCAAGAAAAGAGCGCATAAAAAGAGAATTACAAGACCAACAACAACAACGACAAAAAAAATTAGATTAAATAAAGAATAAATAAAATTTTGCTACATTTTATGACCAAAAAATTAAGTTTAAACGAAGACACATTCGGTGGGTTCGAGTGCATGCTTAAATACAATCGCATTAAATGTCCAAGCAAAATTAATTTATCGTTAAAACTTTGGCGCGCGCGCATACAAAGGAGTTTTTTTTTGTATTAAATATGCACACCATGCTGCTACTTTTGCCACTGATCCGGTTGGTTTCATTTTTAACACAATAATAATTGGTAGTAGTTGGTGAGCGAGGTTTTTTTGTAAATCCCTTTAATGAGGCCATTTGAAATTCATTAAACTGTCCAATAAAACATAAATCACTTTCGTACGCCAGTTTACAACAAACTAAAAGCAAATCTCTCTTTACTTTAGAGTCTTTGGCTCTAATTTCTACTTAACAATTATGATGCGATGAAAAAGGTCAGGCAGAGAGATCCATGATAGAGTTTCATTTAATAAGCCAGTGGCCACACACAAAAATGCTTTAAAACCAATTACGAAATAATTTATTTTAATGTCATTCTTTCCTCTCTCTCTTTCTCTCTTTTTGTCACATAAGAGGCGACAAAACACAAAAATACCGGTCATACAATGAAAAACAATTTTCACGGTGACAAAATTTTATGGAGTCGTAATGAAATAAATATTATTTACGGTAGTTTTACAAATGTTTTTGCCCATACACAAAGGCGTCGCAAAAATTCATACGATATATAATGCATAGATGTTGTATTACTCCTTATTTTCATTCATACAAATTGTTTTGACCAATCGTAAATGGCCCAGATACGATGTTATTCGATTCAGTCAAGGATACCATCAAATGACAAATTACAACATATTATCACATAATATTGTATATTGCAGTCGAAGTGATAGCATCTCAATGGGAAAATGGGATGAAGTGCGGGCCAAAGTTGTTGTTAGAGAAGAGAAGAGAAAAAAAAAACCAGATTCATTGGCTCCAAAAGTTTTAGCATAGTGAGGCCTATAAGCTACATAACGAGAGACATTCAATCCAATTCAATACGCATACCAGACAATAAATATAGACCACCATAAAAACCATATATACTCGGACGAAAATCGTCACACTATAACGAATTGAAATTGGCAGAATGACGGACATTCTATACGATTATTCGTTCACGCATCATCCTCAATCGTTTATGGCAAACAATTTATTACGGCATACACAAAATAATGTAACATTCGTCAGATAAATCGAATTATGGCTCACTCACCCAAAAACACACGCATAGTAAATGGATAATTTTGAAGTTTTGTGACAAATGAACAAAGAGCTTTGAATATCACACATACTAATTTTCCATCATGAATGTAGATGGATGATATGAGTTAAATGACTAATCTGGTAAATTATTATCTATGAATTTATTTGACATTGATGTGATTTGTTCAAGCATTTTAGATATACATCGTTTTGTGCAATTGAATTTAACATTTTCATTTGATCGTCAGAGTTTTAAAATATTAACGAGCTGAAAGTGGGTGAGCCAAAGTGCAAATAGAATTGCACCGAACATTTCGGAATTATTTTGATGAAAAAGTGCCATTTTTAAAATCAACATGTCTGTTTAATCTATTTTCATACGATGTATATTATACGACGGTATTTTATTATATACACATTTAATTCATCTTCTATTTGTCGTTCACCCAGTGTTCAGCAATTCCATGTAGTTTTCCCTCTTACTTAAAAGCGGAAAATAATTACCGACTTTTCCTGAAATGTTGTTTACATTTTGCAGCTTAGCGTGCATTCATGCGAGTAAAATACTTTTAGCTTGATAACAAATTATTGTTATTCATTCTAAACAAGTGTCTTTATTTGTCACATTTCTTTTGTTGATAAAATGAAAATACATCAGCCCGTCCAAGTTTATTTCATTTTAAAATGTGTGTTTAAATCGGTGTGTGCATCAGTACCAAAGAGTTTTCTGTGAATGACATTAAACAGCTCAACGGTTTTTTGTTAAATAAAGTCATCAAAGTGTTCATCGTTCGAAATGACTTTTCGTGTAAACAACGTGCAATGATTGAAAAAGATACATTCATTATTTCTAACAAAGTAGGAAAAAAAAGGTGAGAAAATGGACATGTTTTCATCGGTATGAGGTGTATTGTGACGAAGTGAAGCGGCTAGAATCTGCTTTCTATGAGAATTTTAATTTTCGTTTTACCGTGCATGGTACAGCCTCGGTAGAGTGAACAATTCCCATGAAGTGATGCGTGGTTTCCATTCAAACAATGGTTTCATATACGAAGTTTTGAAGTTTTGTATGGTGTTTATATGATAGACAAAGATTGCATTCATGCAGGCGTACCATTGAGCGATGCCGGAGCGTCAATTTCAATAATTATGGAAATAAAAATTCATGCATATCATTTTTGCTTTCTTCGACTTTCGAAGATATATTCCAGCATTGTTTCTGGCTCATTGGAAATTGCACATGTACACAGCATATCATCACTAAAATAGTTTAATTCGTTGTTTATTTGTTTCAGCTGCTGCACATCCATTCAAAGAAACATTCAAAAGCATGCAAGAGCACATGTTCAACATTGTTGATAGCAAAAACCGAATGATGATGTGTTTTTCATTTTTTTTTTCTTCTTATAAGTGCATTTCATTCACGCGCGAAACACTGAAATTAAGCAATGTTGTGATGATACACTTTCATATAAAGATGTTTGTGCGTTTCGATTACTTTGGACATGATTCAAGTAAAAATTTTGGATGCAGCACCAACAACAAAAAATCAGCGAACAGATGACGAGATTGAGAGAAAGGGAGCAGAGCAACAATCATATATGCCAATCATGCTTTTGTAACGTCGCACAATGGAAATGGTCGCCTTCGTCGTCATCCATTGCAATCAAGCCAGCGAAGTACTCAGTCAACGAACTATCGCTGAGTTGTAAAAGATTAGAAGCATCCTACGAACACGGTATTTATTATTCGAATGTTCTTTGTTCTTCTTACTTTTCACACACAAACATGCATACATAAATGTATGCACAAGCACATGTTGCTGCTGAACAAAGTAAAGCAAGAAAAAAAGAAACCGGGATTTGATCGACTTAGAATGATAAGCGTCGATTTACAAACGCATCTGAAAAGGAAAACATCAGCAAAATAGAAACCGTTCAAAATCTTAACATAATTAAAGTAAATAATGTGTATGTGTGCATGCATAATAGACGCATCGACGCAATTGATTTGCTTGCTTGTTTGGCTTTCGGGTCCAACCAATGAAAAGAGTCGAAAGTAAATGGTAATGAGTTTTCCGTTAGTTGGTCAATGGAAAATCGAAACAAGAGAGTCCGTTACACGGAACTAACAGTTGTTGCTTTTAACTCACGATAAAATCGTCGTATGCACACACATCGGCGCTGGCGCTTTTGTGCAAATTTTATGAAAAGCAGCATGAAAGCAAGTAGAAAAATGTTTGTTGTCAGTTCGAATGGAAGAAAGCTTTCAACTGAATTTTGATGCAAATTCCCTTGCTTCCATTTAAATATTACACACACTTTCACTTACACATACATTCCCAGTTAAGTCGTTTAAATTCCTCCTTTAATTCGTTGCGGGCAGTTAAGATAAGCAAACACACATCGAAAACAAACGCTTTAAATCCGTTTGCAAACGTTGAAGAAGTCATGACCGGTTTTTTTTCTTCTCTCTGTTCATTTCTTCTTTCGCTTTTCGCTCGAATATTTTATTCGATAACATTTCGTTTATTATACCGAGAACATGCATGTGATAAAATATTTTACGTGCAGTATTCGATGGTTCGACGCTATTGTTGTCGAATTGCTCATGGGAGTGCGTTGTGCGGTTGTATGAATCGCACTGCAACGACAGCGTTTTCTTGAAAATTCAATGAAACAATTCGAATTATAACATCAAATTGTAATAAGAGACGAAAATCAAAAGACAGAGAAAAAAAACGTCGTCCCTCTATCGTTTAGTCTTTATAGTTTCACCGCTTTTTTGATGCGATATGATGTGGATTTTATGGAGTTCAATATTTTCTTCGTCTGGCACACATTTTATCTGCGTGCATGTGTGTGTGTATGTGGATTAATTAAACTGCAACAAGACCGCATGTAATTTCATATTAGAGTAGTGATTTCAATACAGAGCTGTGTATCTCTACATGCATGTACATTTCAATATGAAATGAGTACATTTGGTTTAAGCGTATTGACAATTTGTGGCTCGGTTAATATGTAATGCTTTAGCCACAGTCGTGCTGTTGTTCGGTGAAGCGAATCCAAAAATACAGTAGCTTAAAATGCATTTTATTCGATTTGATATTTCTTCTCTGTTTTTTTTTGCTTCTTCTTCTTCTTCATTGTGTTCTCGCTCTCGTTCGCTACTTCAACTAACTTTTAATTTGGGTGAGCGTTTTTATTTTGTGGTTTTTCATATTTGTGAACGCATCACACACAGCATGTGCAAGCACGTGTACATTTTATGCAATATAACACTTGATTTTGTGGCAAACGATTTAAATTCACATTTGAAATCATGGTGACAATAGCAATGTTGTCGCCCATTGCTTTGGTATTATTATTGTTGATTCGGTTGTTGTTGTTATTGTACACCAATTGTTTGTGCGCCAAAGTTTTGCACAAAATGCAAATGAACTTAAGGAAAAATAATTAAAATGCATACACGCATTGATGCACTCGCTTTGCTATTCGCCTGTTTTTTTTTTCGGCTCGCAAAATAAGTAAGTGCGAGCGCACGCTGTCACAAATTGTTGAATATATTTCAAGTATAGTCATCGTCTCTTTAAGGAAGAAAAGTCACATTTAAATCCATGTTAAGGTTACGACGGTGACTTACTTTCATCGCAGCAAATGTCGCTGTTATTTCGA